AGTTTTTCTTGAAAACGGCTAAAAACGGCAAGTTAAGTAAAACAAATTCAACTCATTACATCTTAGTTTATCCATTTCCGATTCCATTTTGTTTGCCGAAAGTTAACAAAATTGTAAAAGCTTACATAAAATCATAAATGAAAACAAATCAGAAAATTTTTGAGGTTATGCAAATAAGTCATTTTTTTGCAAACAAATGACAAAAAGCTGCTTTTTTAAATTGGGACATTGGTTCTCACTTAGATATAGTTTTGTTTCCCATTTAAAATTTTCCTTTAGTTATTCACACTTTTCAAAAACAATGCACTTGAAATTTACAAAATAAACCGGTTGCGCAAACAACGTATCAATAACGTTTTGAAAGTGTAACTTTGGTTTATTGCTGTATACGGTGTTTTTTATTTTACAAAACCCTAGTGAAGTTTCTGTAATTTTGGAGTATTCCCTACAGAATGGCAAAAAAATAATGTAAAACTGCCTTTACGAAATTGGACTTTCGCACAGCCAAATGTATCATTTGACCTAATGTGCAATGGTCGGTTTCACACTGGAACATTTCTGCTACACCAGAACAACTCTGTTCATAGGCAAGGGAGGCAGTGCGGTGAGATAAAGTTTCTTAAAAAAAATTGTTCCAGCTTCCACTCCGCATCAAAGTGGTAGTTCTGCTGCAGCGCACTAACACATGCGCAACTATGAAAATACCCTGCAAAAATTTCAGGACCACATGGTCCACTGGGTCGTGGTTTTAAAGTATGTGCAAAAGGACCAGGTTGCATACTAGTAACTTGTTATGCTTACCTGGACCACTTCAAACGAAAAAAACTGATATATGTATGTGTTGAACACCACCTCTTCGTGGCCCATCGGCAAAATGATTCGGCTGCCGAATGTGCCATGGTTCAAAAGGAGTAGTTGTCTAGGTGCTCCCATGTTATGCAGAGTTGGACCAGAAGTGGTCCCATATTATGCAGCGTTGGACCAGGGTGGTCAGGTCCAATGACATCGCAATGTTAATGTAACCGCATTTTCTTCATATATCTGGACCATTTTGGTTACTAGTGTTGTTTACAAGGTAGCGTGGTCCTGTACTAGTGGTTAACCTAGTCCCACTTTTTGCAGGGAAACGCTACACAACTTTCAAGCGCAAAAGTTACAAACGCATTCAAACGACCTATACGTATACGCACTTTGTTCTGCTAGTCATCCAGTAGGAAACCGTGAGAATAAGTGTTCTATCGTTCTAGTGTGAAACAGCCCAATAGAAAACTGCTCGAACGGATTGCGATTGGTTCTCGTGTAGCTACATACATATGCACATACATATACATAAATAGGCAATGCATATAAATATGTATATGTACGTAAGTAATCAATTAAATTGACCCTTTATTTTTTGTTTCCTAATACCGCAAATCATTTTTCATTGCGGAAAAGAGGCGATCCAATCAATCGGCCTATCAATTGCAGACCGATGGACAAAATTATATAACTATGTATGTGACCGCGTCACATTTCCTGCTGCGAATGTGTAAATGTGTCTTCCTAGTCTGCTGATGGTTTTAGTTTCATAAAACTCCATTGTATGTGATTAGAATGCCAATGGCAATCGCCAATTGCTGGTCCGAGCGTCGGAGTTGGTGCTGGCAAAGTTTTTCGGTTATTCTAAGAAATTCAGGGAAATGCGATTCACTGCACTTCGAACGTGACTTAAACGCATTCAAGTTCCAAAGCGAGAAGCAGACAAACCAATCAATATGCATTAGAATGTATTGGGGCGTAGCAGTTTTATTAATTTTTTCTTTTTCATGAGTAATATTGCGGATATATGTACATAACAGTGTATGCGCTACTTAAAAGTCGTGTTAATATTTTTTTATTTCTATTGTGATTAGAAAAATTAAAAAATTCTAAACAGCAGACTTTTTTCAATTATAATGGCACCATGAATTATATCGATAAACTTTTGTCGTTTTCCGAACAACGTGCCTAAATGCTATTTGGTGCAGAATGTAGCGATAATTTATTGATAAAATTTCGATTCAAATTTAAAGTGTATAATCATACATACATGTTAGGGATACTTCGAATGTCATATTTTTTACATTCGCCGTTCTTCCTCTTCTTTTATGTCAAACTCATACAAATTCATGATGTCGCTGTCGCGTTCAAAAAATGTATGTCGTCATCTACAAAGGGTTTAGATAATGACAATAACAAATTGGAAGCTGAGGTCATTAGCTCGTCGTCTTCAATGTGTTCAGCACTTTACACTTGAAATTAAAACATATCCCAGTGGCGGTACCTTGAAGGAAAATTACATATGGAGAATACCCTGCACCCTGTTGAATACCTCTGCCAAATCTAAGCCATCTGTGTGGAGCCGCGCAGCTGATCAGAATGTGACGAATACAACTCTTCCAACTTTTTGAATCGTTATATCTCGGAAACGGTGGCTCTTAGGAAAAAAGTATTTAGACATTTTTTATAGATGAATATCTGATCTAAAATTTTGGTCTGAACTAATTTTATGATAAACTTACCGTTTTGCTGAAAATCGCGAAAAACCCGTTTTGGTGACCCAATGACCCCGAGTAACTTTTTTTCCAGGTATCGGATCGATGAGGACTTTTTAGATTTCATTTATGATGGTGTTTTGAACAGTCCTACCAATTTTCAGCTGGGTGGGAATTATTGTAACTTCAGTGCTATTTTTGGTCTAATTTGACCGGACTATATGGAAGGGAAGCACTGTGCTCCACTCCATTCTTGCTCACTCTTTATATAGTATCAATGGACTTTGTGTCCCCTTACTCCTCTCCGTCTGCCATCACACAATCTTGGGTAGTGATGTTCCGATACCAGTACTCAGAAGTATATACTGGAGTACCTCTACCAAGTCCGAGTATTTTTTGTACTACGATATGTGTGTACAAGTACTTCATGGGTATCGAGTACAATGTGCAAGTATTTAATTGTTTGCTAGATTTGGGAAAATCAACTGACAATTGGTCGGTGTTGTAGTTTTTGAAAAAAAAAGATTCAAGATGTGAACCACTCGATTTCACTTGGGTTAAAACTAACGAAAGTGGAGAACGAAATTCGTATCGAGATGGAGGAGGATGTGTAGCCAGCCTGTGATTTGTGGAAGCGTCGTATATAGATCGTTTTGAAACCGAAGGATTAAACACTAGTAAACAATAAGCTTTCTCATTACTTAACTTCTTCTATTTTAGCACTTCCAAGTAACCCCATTTCAAAATAGAAGGAAATGAAAAGGCATTTTCAGCTCTTCATAAGCCTTTCTCCACTGTATGTTGCTATATTGTATGTATATGTATGGGCATTGAATTAAAATTTTTTGTGTTAGTACTTTCGAGTACAAGTATAATCGAGTATTTCCTAGCGATACTTTGAGTAGCATCGAGTATTATCTTCGATACTTTTAATGAGTACAGGCATCGAGTACATGGTGGTATCGGACGAACACTAATCATGGGTGATCAAAGCACCAGTGGTGTTACATTAAATATAACCTTTGAAATTTTACTAACGAAATTTTTTGATTCACGATGAGTGGAAATAGTTTTTGTGTGTTTTATGTTCTTGGACTATTCTAAGGGATTATGGAATAATACCTTATAAATTCTATAATAGCATACTTTTCATTTAATATGTTAACAAAAATATTGTCAATTACTTCTTTTTACTTTTAATAAGTATTTACAATAATACATGTTTGGTTGACTGTGCATCTCAGAAAGGAAATTATTTTTTAAACCGTCATATTAAGAAAACGTCTCCAGATAATCGTCAGATTTTGGAACAGCACGACCATGGCATCGAGATGAACCTTCTGTATGAAAATCTGAAGCGCTCGAGTAAATCCAATTGGCGATGCTAAGTGTCTGGCAATGAACGACGTAGTTTCTAATGTTATTACGAGTCAAATATATAAAAACTGACCTTTATACTATCTCGAATTTGAGGTGGTATTTTATACATGTATTTTATACACCTTTACTACCTGGTACCTGCCAAAGCCACCACTATCCAAATTTCATAGTCTGGGTTTGTTATTACCATACATAGAGAAGCTTTCAGCATTTATAAAATAACGAAGGTCTGGCCGTCGCGGGCTCTTGGGGTGTCAAATGAAAGAAAAAGTTGTGATAATAAATTAACAAATAAGTGTACCGAAATAGTATCTCATTGCTAACTGGCACACTTTATATTATTTTACTATGTTTATTGTCGCCACTTTAGTACCTTCCGAAAACTTTTTTTGGGAAGCTTCTCAAGAGAGCAAAAAAACTAGGATTTGTAGCTATTTAAATCAATAAATACATTTCACCGTGAGTTAATACTTAAACTTTTATCGAAGCTCCGATTGTTTCATTTTCTTGTTGTATATTTTTAATTGAAAGAAACTTTTGATATTTTCATTTGGTGCATCAAAATTATCGACGTTTTTATACGATATATCGATATGAATCGATGCTATATTTCGATGCTAGAGCTTTTAAACTATCGACGATACTATCGATAGTCTGGTCACATGAAATAACTATCGATAGTTTTAGTACTATCGCCACTATCGTTTCATTGATAGCGTATTCTCTTTCCTAGCGCTTTAGACATTTGTACTTATTGGTGTAAAGAGAACAAACCTGGCAGCATTATTTCATGAACGAACGAATAGAGGTTACATTAGCTATGATCCAATACTTTCAGTGAAAAATCCTGTAAAACTGTCAAACAGTAAAATTACTCTCTGAAGTGAGAGTAAAAAGTGAGTAACAACAAAAAGTACGGGAACAAAAAAACCATTTTCCCGTAAAAACGTCAACCAGTGATTGCTTGACACTTTTCATGACTTTACCAGAAGAAAAAGTTCGGGTAAAATGTTGCAACTTCATTCTCTACACAACTCTCCAAAAGTCGCTCTCATTTACAGGAGTTTGGAGGATTTTGGAGTACGGGAACATTTTTCCTGCAAGTTCGTGTAAAATCCTTAAGTTCATGGAGTACTGGATCAGAGCTATTGCCGTCTTAACAGCGTGACAGACGCGGCAATGCAGTATATTTCAAAAGACTGTCAAATTGAGAAATTTCAGTTTCAGTTTCAGAGCAGTGGGAACTTAGGTTAGGTTAGGTTGATGTGGCAGTCGGTTCAATTTACCAACTCACTTAGACCTTTTGAAGGTCCATTGTGGTACCACTGCAGAACACGGGAACCTCGGTGACTATTCTTCAGAGAACCAATTTGAGGCTCTTATAAAGCGTAGAATCGGTTTTATTCCTACGCGTGATATTTCCGTAAGAGAGCTAAAGAAGGGCCTGCCTAAAAAGCTTGCTCTCCTCTTGGCCAAAGCTGGGCAGCTGCAGAGGAAGTGCTCTACGGTTTCTTCCTCTTCCTCATCTCTGCAACTTCTGCAATATTCGTGGGAGAAAATTCCTAGTCTTGAAGAGTGCCTGCCAAATAGCCAGTGACCGGTTACACAAGCCGTGACCTTCGCAATGTCCTCTCTTGAGAGGCACAGCAACTCTTTCGTCTTTTTCTTTTCTATTTGCGGCCAAAGCAGCCTGGTTGTTCTACATGTGCCCTCCTCTAGCCATGACCTGTTGGCCTCTTGGATCATGCTATTTCGAAGTTCTAATTTGCAGGTTGCCATGGGTATCCCAATAGTGCCCCTGTTTTCACATAGGGGTAGATTCGTACCTTTCCTGGCTAGCTCATCAGCCCTGCAGTTTCCTTCAATATCTCTGTGTCCCGGAACCCATATGAGGCTGACCTTGAACACGGTGCTAATATCGTTTAG